TTGATCTGACTTTTAATATTTTCTGAGTTTTTTTCATATTGAGGTTTATCTGTTGTATCTTGTCATTGTGGGTAGCCTTCTTGAGTTTTTGTTGTGTTTCTCTGTTTGAGGGCATATGAAACGCAGGACAGAAGGCCCTACAGAAGAGACCATTAGAATGAACAGTTGTGCGAGGGTGCAGCACTAGCAGTGCTTCATTCCGGTGTGCACAGGGACACTGGGTGGGAACTGATTAGATGGCTTCTGACAACAAAAGCGACAACCACCTTTGAAAAATGCATTCCCTTGGTTAGATTGTGAGGAGTCGAGTATTCTGACTGACTGTCCTTGTAGGAAAACCTTTTGAGGGCTGATAAGAAAACCCCAAAGGAGGTAAATTGTACTTTCTCTCGACCCAGGAAATGTGTATCTAATTAAAGAGTTACCTGATCATCCCAGATGAGAGATGTGGTAAATGTATGAAAGGAAGTGACAGGAACATGCAAGCACTTAACAGTAAATTGTGAACTGCAGAAAAGGCAGGACTTTGTCTATTTTGTTCATGCGGGGCTATCTGTAACGCTTGAACGAGTGCTTGGCCAGGAGTAGGCAGTCAACAAATAATCTGTGGCAACGAAACTAATCACAACCTCCCGGCTGCTAGTGGGATTGGAAACCCCAGGATCAAGGTTGAGGAAGGAGCTGGCACTAAATGCAATACACAGTCTCTTACTGTGCCAGCCTGGTGAGGTCCTGGGCACTTTGGATTTAGGTAAGATCTTGAAGGACAGGCACCAGACAGGAGGGTGCATCTGGATGTGCCTGTGCATGCGCACACATAAAATAGTTCAGGAGATACCCAGAACGTGAGAAGTGGTGGATTGTCTGGGTCGTAACCATGGAACGGCCTCAAAAATGAAAACTCCCCTCCAACTCGAATAAATGCTCCTTAGACCCTTCTTATGCACAACCACACATTTAAGACGCTCACACCCCTGCACAAAGAACCGGCACAGCCAGACACACTTATTGGAATGATACCTCTGATTACTTTTCCTGGAGAAATCCAGCTCAATATAGGTGAACTTTCAAGTTTATAGATCTCTATGTAGTGAGAACTCTGCAGCCATCGAGTCATGCATGACCTTTTCCTGGTGCAGTCGTTACGAGTTGGGCTACAACCCGAATGGTTGGCAGTTCTAAGCCACCAACAGCACTGGAGAAAGACGGGGCTTTGTTTTCCCGTAAAGTTAAGTCCCAAAATCCCACTGGGAGTCCGAGTCAGCACTGACTCCACGGCAGGGAGAGTGAGCTGTACGATGGAGTTTGTTCCTCTGGTACAGCTTGCCATCCAGATTTGCTGCAGTAGCAGTAGGGGCCTCAAATGATGCTTTTAAAGGAAACAGGAGACAGATCTGCAGGATAGATGTGAACAAGGCGACAACGTAAGCAGTTTCTGGCTCTTGGCATTAAGTATGTGGTGCTAGAAATGCCCATCTCTCCATAAAAGGGGAGCGCCCCCCAACTGAGGAGCTGTGTCACGCCCCGCCCGGCCCAAAGACAAGGGAGTGCTGCCTCGGCCCAGGCAGTGATGGCTTTGTGACAAAGTTCCGTTTTCAGAACTAGGACTCTGGAAAACTGATACTGAATCCTCAGCTCCCTTTAAGAACTTAATGAACCTGTGTTTTCCTCTTGATCTTTGTCTTCCTTCCCAATGAGGTTAATCTAAACTGTGGATGAGGCCTCTGGGCAAACCAGCAAGCAAAGCAGGAACCTTGTTAATTTACAGACCCTCAAACCTAACTTCATTAAAACACACACACACACACCAAAACTAACTTCTTTAAAAAGACAAAAAACAGACATAACTAATGAAGCAAACGAACCCCCAAAACCCACAGCCATTGGTTTCAACCAAAATCTGTCTTCTAAAGTGGGTGGGGTAGCAGTGCAAGATGATCCTAAAATCAAACATGTACTAAACGAAAGCCTCACTGGTAAGTCTGCTATGTGCAGTCTATCTCAGAACCTGGTTGTTGTCTTGGGGAGGGCTGGGTTTTGCCAACTGAGTGTTGGTAGATTCCTCCTGGCCAACCTCTCCACCTATGTCGTGGCAAAGGCTGTGCTTCCATATGAATTAATGGAATCATGCATCTGTCTTTCAGGTTCAGTATTTCTTCAAGATCTTGGATAATTAGCAGAGCGAACAGAGGACAGCACAGACTGACACGTCTAGACACGAGACAGTCACGCACATGAGGAATGTGTTCATTCTTTTATTGTCCATTGTTTTAACCCGACTGAATACAAGATCAACAAGAGCACTGTACTCCTGGCAATTATTACATATGTTAGAACATGGATTTTGCACTTTAGACAACATGTAACACCAGTCTATGGGGTACTGCATTGCTTTTTATAAAGTTCAAAATAAAGATTTATTTTCAAACAAGTGACTTTGGTTTTTATTTCATACATTACACTTTTTCTTGCAGAAAAAAAAATTGTACAACTGCATAAATATAAAATTCTTCCACCGTGGAAATGGTAAAAACATTCATAAAGACACAGCACCAGCATGTGATGCCTCCAGAGAAAGGAAAGGAAAGAAAATGTATAAGCAAATTAATCAGCAGCCCCATCACCAGGCAGCGATGGGCCCACCCAGGTCTCATACACAGCTTCGGAACGTACTGGAGGACAAGGGAGATGGCAGGACAGCATTCAGTACAAAGCACAACACAACCCATCACCTGTGTGTGTGTGTGTGGTTTTATTGTAGTGTCACGTAAATTTAAAGGGCAGTTCCCGCATGACAGCCCACCCCATCCCACCCGCCCCACCCCAGGAAAAAAAAAAAAGACCTAACACCACAGGAAAAGACTATGGAGTGTGTTAAAAATGCTCATCGATGGGCCAGTATCTTTGTCCAAGAGCCAACCCCACCCCACCCCACCCCCCAAAAAAAGGAAAAAAAAAAAGTGACCATGCCAGTTTTATTCCCATTGAGTATTTACACCTTGGACAGCACACCTTGCTCACAGAAAGTAGCAAACAGATACGCTAAAACATGGCTTGAGAAAGGACCGGAGTATGCACCTAGGGTACTGTACACTAAATAAAATACACAAGGCAGCAATACTTAGGGGCCAGAAACACTGCTTACTACAAGTCAGTTATGGAATCATCATTTACAGTAAAAATGGGCACGTCCCAAGGCTCAATTTTTATTTTTATTTTGTCATTTACATAGAATAAATATTTTGTTGCTATTGCTACACTTTAAATTTACATTCTAACCTATTAAATGCAGAAAGCTAGTGTAAAGCGTATAGATTAAGTGTAGGTCCCATACGTATGACAGTTTGTTCAAGACTAGTAGGTTTTTTTGTTTTTGTATCTTTAAACGTTTTCAATGGCTAGTGGGAAAGATTTGTGCTTGTGATCAGCTCTTAACTTCAATTTTTACATCAAAGCGTCCCTGAAAACGGTCTTTGTCACTGTACCCAATGTTTTCACCATACGCCTTACACTCTATGCGGATTTCAGTGTCCATGGTGAGGTTGGTGAACTGCACAGCCAGCAGGGGCTGCAAGTACTTGGGCTGCAGGAGTTTGCCGTAGTAGGGATAATACTGCAGAGGAAAGCCAGCATAGCCGCCCAGTCCAAAATACTCCACGGTGCCAATTTTCTCCTTATCTTCCTCTCGCTGAAAACCAGAGTGAAATGTACTTTAATGGCCCACATCCTGGATCACTGTTACACACACACACACACACACACACACACACACCACACACACCACACCACCCAGAGCATGGACTGCAGGACATACAGCCATCCTCTGATATGCTGAGCTCAACCTGTCCCAGATACAGGCCGCACAGGGCTGGTATCTGACAGGAGAGCCAACAGCATATGCTCAGTATCTCCCGCCCCCCTCCCCGTTCCCCCGCCCAGCACGTATGGAGAAAGGGTCATAAACCAGAGGCTAACACCTGCAGAACTTTCACATTAAGAATCATGTTGGCCTCCCCCCTTTCAATGTACTAGTTGGGCCAAAGAAGCCTGTTCGAGACAGGCTAGTTCACCTCTGCTGTGGAGACCAAGTTTCAAGTGACTGAGGATGATTCCGTTTCTGATTCAGTGAAAACCATCTTTACGGGCATCAGAGCGAGTCTGGTCTATCTGTGCTGTTATTTGTCTTTCTGTCTGGTGTTTCTGCAATCTAACTACAACTCGACCATCTGGAACCAATAGCTGGGAGCAGTGTTTCTTTGATTCATAGTTTACCTCTCACAACCACCACACTCATTCTCTCCTCTCCCATGCCCCGCCTCCCCCGCCCCCAGCAACCTTAAATGCCTTTTTTACCTTGCCGGTGCAGTGAACAGGCAGGACATACGGACTGTATTTCATCATTGAGTAAGGTCCCAGAGAATCATTCTTGGGTGGCTAAATAGAAAAACCACATTGGTTAGTCAGTCTATAATCTGTAAAATGTCTGAAAAAGAAAACTCGTGTATAACCCAAACCAGGACCCATTGGTCACGAGTCCACTGGAAGAACACTCTCAGAACAAGCGTGATTACTCCAGGACACTGAAAGGGAGAATTCTCATCAGAGAGAAAACTGATTTGACATTTCTTTGTTTAAAAATCTATGCTTTTCTCTTAAAGCATGAATAAATGGAGCAGGGCACTTGTTGCCAATCAGCTTTCCTTTGACGCACCAGTAGAAGAGGTACTGCCAAGTGAAGGAGCGTTCCCAAGCCTTATCGGTAAAGGTACTGTTTGAAACAGGTGAAGGGGTCAATGCCCTGAATGAGGCTGTGGTACAGGGGCCAAACCCACTGAGGGGACCCCAGAGAGTACAGTTTGAAGATGACCACTGTGGTAAAGTACACAGAGAGCTGTACACAGAGAGCTTTCTTGCCTGCATCCCTGGCTTGAATCCACCTCAGTGGTGTTTTGATAAATCCATTACAGTCTCTTGCTTAGTCACATTAGTAACGTATATGACCCTTTATTTATTAAATACTTTTATTGGGGGCTCATACAGCTCTCATCACAATCCATACATCCATCCATAGTGTCAAGCACATTTGTATATATGTTGCCACCATCATTTTTAAAGCATTTTCTTTCTACTTGAGCCCTTGCTATCAGCTCATTTTCCTCCCTCCCCCACCCTTCCTCCCTCATGAACCCCTGATAAATTATTATTTTCATATATTACATTGTCCGCTGTCTCCCTTCCCCCACTTTACTGTTGTCTATCCCACTGGGAGGGGGTTATATGTCAATCCTTGTGATCGATTCCCCCTCTCTCCCCCACCTGTTATCTTTAGTCTCATTATTGATGCCAAGGGGTTGATCTGTCCTGAATACCCTGTGTTGCGGGCTCTTATCTATACCAGTGCACATGTTCAGGTCTAGTCAGATTTGTAAGGTAGAAATGAGGTCATGATAGTGGGGCGGGGGCTGGGGGGGAGCATTCAAGAACTAGAGGAAAGTTGTATGTTTCATCAGTGCTATACTGCACCCTGACTGGCTCGTCTCTTCCTTGTAACCCTTCTGTAAGAGGATGTCCAATTGTCTACAGATGGGCTTCGGGTCTCCATTCTGCGCCCCCTGCCCCCCCACACCCCGTCCAAAAATTCACATTGGTATGATTTTGTTCTGGGTCTTAGATCGTATGTGAATCTTGACATGAGATGTGATGTGCACATAGGCCCATCAACATTGGTGGAAGTGGACAGTGCTCTAGACTGGTGACAGACTAGTCTTGTAGTACTGAAATTTGTTTTTGTATATGCGAAAATGTGTATCCAGATTGGATGCTTTTAGAATATTCTGAGAGTAATGTATTTACCTTTAAAAATATATTTTAAACAAGTTTTTAAAATTTCACTAAACAGAGTAAAACAAGCTACTGGGAATGCCAGTAGCTATCCCCAGAAGGTGAGGAAGACAGGCCGCTAGCCTGAGATGATGGGGTACTATGGATAATCACTGATGATGACAAAATGGCTGGGGATTTGGGTTGGGAGAGTAAACTAGAAAGAGACCAAGTGGAAACCATAAAGAATGAATGGGGGGTGGGGTAGCTGACGTCATCGCTTAACAGACTATAGATGTGGGGACATATATGCAACTCAGCAGACTAGACTGCGTGCCTCTGTGGACACATCTAATGTCACTCCACGTCCATGAAGAGAAACATCAAAAGCAAGGGACTCAGAGGACAGAGATGAGGCCCTGTCTTCCTTTGGCCATGCCATACCAACTCCTTTACACCACTTTACTCTTTTGCTATCCTTAATGAATTTATCTTGATGATGTGTTCCCCAAGCAATGGGAGTATCAGACGCAAGCATAACAGAGTGGTACTTGTAGTTTTTCTGTTATACCCTCTTCTAAGTGGACAGGTTAAATATCTGTTGGACAATACATTCCATGCTCTAGAAGGCCCATCAAGCGATCCAAGCACAGGAGCGTCCTTCCACCCCATTCAGCCTTTCATTGTGGCCCTTGGTGGTAGTAAAAGCACTCAGGAATGGTATTCTAAAACTTTTCATCCATACAATGATTTTCATTTAGAAATACTGCTCATGAGTGACAAGCAGGTAAAAACAAATGAACAGCAGTTGACATAAAATTAATAAACAAAAGAGCCAATTTTAGAAAGGAAGATGTTTGCTCAGCGGCATGTCCCCAGTTTGAGGGCAGTCATGGCCACCACCAAAAGCATGATCAAAGTTCAACCTGGAGGGTGTCCAGCTTCTAATGTCAGAGCCCTCCACACCAAACCCAAGTGGCTCATCAAAACTGTACGATTAAACTATCACTTGCCTTAGGTTTGAAGCCCAGAACTCGGTTGAGCTTGATGAGGACACATGGCTTGCCCTCTTTGTAGCCGAAAGTATCATCGTTTATGCCAGAGCAATTTCCCAGCCACTCAAGCTTGAAGCGGCAGACTTTCCGCTCTCCGCGCTCGTTGTTATATTCGCCTCGTTCTTTGAAGTCACTGGGCATATCTGAAAATGCAAACACCAGCTTCACCCCGACCAGCAGATTCCTTAGCACGGTTAGAGTAAAGGCAAAGGTATTCTATCTCCTGCCACACTTGCCCAATTGAAGACAGTGCTACTCTGCACTGAATGCGCTGTCTGAATGAAGAATGTTTTCCTTTTTTATCCACATCTCTTCACTGACATTAAAGAGGTATTTCACCAAGAGCCAACCAAACCTCATGGCAATTCTGACTCACTGTGCGACGCAGGACAGAGCAGAATGCCCCCACGGGATCCCAGAGCTGTAATCTTTAAGAAAGCAGACTGCTGCAACTTTCTCCCTTGGAGTGAGGGGCTGACAAGTTAGAACTGCTGACCTTTGTGTCAGTAACAGAGAGCTTTAACCACTGCACCACCAGGACCAAGAGCCATTGTTAGCTGATAAATAACCCCACACCAATAGCTTCGGAGCCCTTGACAATCTGCACGTCAGCACCTGGTCTCTGGGACTAGTTCCCTAGCTTAAATAATGGATTACTCAGCTACTTAGAGGAAAAGGCAATGGGATCGCTCTTCACAAGAGTAGCATCATTTACACAGGTCAGCAATGGCCTAGCTTGCTAACCGGGACAAAAGGGCTGTCATCTTTTTCAGAACTGGAACTTCTGTGTAGGAGGAATGTATTTGGAGCCAAGTCCCAACTACATTAGACAGTGAGCCATCCCGAGGGCGGACTGCTGTTGCTAGCCTTTAAACTCTCACTCAGGTTATTTGTTGATTTGAGGTTTTGCCTTTTAAATATTTGCATTCTTATAAGCATTTGTCCAGCTGAAAAATCTTAAGGCTAGCAATGTTGATTTATGCTATATCAAGCCAGAGAACAGTGATTTAAAATTTAAATGTTAAATACAATCATCGGGGAGGAAATTGGTGCATTTTAAGTTTGCAAATTAACTGTTTTTTCTTTAGATGGTCAATTTAATCCACTTCTCATGAAGTAGTTAATTCTAGTTTCAAACAGGTCTTTTAAAAACTGCCAAGTAAGAAGAAACCACATTCAAACTCTAATGACAGAAATTCGCCGTGAAACATTTCTTTCTTTAAAAAGAAAAAAAAAGTTCTCCCCAAATATCTTGAAAATTACAATTAGCTGCATATTCTGACCCAGCCAAAGTCTGTCCGATGAAGCAGAGTCAGTAACATTTGAATGGAGTTGGACAAGGACCATCTGGTAGGTCTGAAAACATGGGTGGGGTGACTCACACCGCAGGTAACAAGGAGGGAGTCCGTGTTCACCCCAAGGACTCAAGGAAATGAAGGGCCATTCTTTACTTGTCATCAGCCACTTCCTCATCGCGCACGTCATGGTCCACTGCAAGCAGGTGCATAGTGTGTACTCTACCCACTCCCAGTGCAGGTAGAGCTGGTGACACCAATGAGTCATTCTTAGGAGAGAAAGGCCCTGGGCTGCTTCTATATGTACCACTGGGAAGGGTATGGGGCGATTTCTGGAAATACAAGCAGTTGTTCTTCTCCAAATCAATGGGTATAGATGACGCCAACTGTACTGGTGGTCTACCTACTGGTCTGAGTGATAAAAAGCAGGGATGTCTGTCTGTAAAGTTCGATATTTCGCTGCATCTAAACCATTGAGGGCCTTTTTCAAAAAAGCCAAACAAGAAACTAAGCAGAATGTGTCTTCCCAAGAAGGCCAGTATTCAGTCTTCCATTATTTCAGGAATACCCCACAGCCATTAAAAATAGCAAGTAGAAAAGGGAAATAAGAATTAAAGGCAAGAGAAAACCAACCACAAATATCGCAAAGGAGTCTACTTACTGCCACAATCTTCAAAAATCATTTCATCCTTCTGGGCCACATCTTTGTACTTTTCCAGGAACCTAATTATGTTCAGCAAGTAGGCCTCATAGCTCTTAGGGTCTAATGGACGGAAGGAAATCTCAGTTTTTTGGATCTGAGGAACCTGTGTTAATCCTAGAGCAGACAGAGTTAAAAAAAAAAAAATCGTTAGCAAAAAGCTGTCAAAAGCTAATTCTCCACATCTGACATTTTGCTAACCAGTCCCACTTGGCTAAAAAGAAACCCCCAATCCCCCACATTCCACTGCCACGGAGCCAATTCTGACTCACAGTGACCCTGTAGGACACTAGGACCGTCCAGTGAGCTCCCGAGACTGTGACTCTTCATGGCAGCAGAAAGTCCACTCCTCCAGGGAGAAGCTGCTGGGTTCAAACTGCTGCCCTGCGGTCAGCAGCCCGATGCATGACCACAATGCCACCAGGCTTCCTCCCCGGACCAAAGAGCAAAGGTTAAATTCTTGTCTCCTTTGTGAAATTACTGCTCAAGTACGTAGATTAAGTCCCCAAGCAGCAAAGGCTATGCTTTAGAATGGTTTCATTTCTACAGCAGCATCTCATCATGGGCACTAGTCTCCATGTTATCGGATGAAAACACTGTTTGCATAGAAAGGTCGTGCCTGGCCCAAGGTCACAGGTAAAGTGGGGGAACCAGAATTGCAATGCTCCGAAGATGACGACCTTTTCAGCAATGCTATAAACAGAGCTGTAAAAAGGGCAGTCAGCAGTGCAGCCGCCCCACTCCCCACCCCACAGTTGCAAGCACACTTTGGCAGGGCACTTTCTATACATTTCCAGTGAAGGAATGCATTCCACACTTGCTAAGACTCAAGAGGGCCCACGGCGCTATTTCTTTGGCTATTTTAACCTTGGCTGGGTCTTTTCATGGAAGTTGGAGGGATCTGGGAGGGATGGGCAGTGACCACTCCCGCCTTCCAATTCACAAGTCAATTCTGTACTTCAACTCACAAGTCTGTTCTTGACTTATCAAATGGTGCCCATGAGGGCCCATAATCGATGTCTGCCTTGGTTCAGCATCTATTCTTTGTGAGCAAATCCCACTTCCCCTTAGATTCATCTTCATCATTACTCGCAGACAATTCCCCACCTCCACCTCAAACTCCTCAGGTTTCACACCAGCCCTTTGAAGATGGTTCTTAGCGTCACTCCTAAAGGAATTTGTCATGGGAAACCCCATTGCCCATTTCCCATTCCTCCTAAAGGAATGAAGGGGTGAGGAGCTGTTAGTGACAGCCACGCTACGCCTGAGAGTTGTGACAGACAGGACTCCCCATGAACTGACTGATGCTGGCTCACTAGAGATAGATAGTCCTTGGTTTGAGATACAACAAGGCCTTAACTCAGGTGGACATCCTTTTATTTATTCAATAAATCATTTTATTGGGGGCTCTTACAGCTTTTCTAACAATCCATGCATCCATTATATCAAGCACATATGTTCCCATCATCCTTTTCAAAACATTTTCTTTCTACTCGAGCCCTGGGTATCAGCTCCTCGGTTTTTTCCTCCCTCCTCCCAGGTGGACATTCTTAATGCCAACTCGGAAGGAAGGGGAAGGAAGGGGTATCTTCCGAAAATAACCCGGAGGGCAAGAGAAAAGGGTGCTTTCCAGCCCGCGGGGCTACAACAAGACACCAAAACCACACACAGGGCACACAAAAATATCCTCAAAAAAAGACACACACAGAGTGTGGGTAATGCTCTTCCAGGTGTTCCAACATGATGTGGAGGGCCGAACAGACTATACTGAGGAGAGGCCTAGGATCCTAGCAGTGGTGGATCAGCAGAAACGTAGAGAGGGTGGCACAGTAAGCAGCTGTTGGAAACCAGAGGGAGGTTTCACCTTATCTCCCAGAAGGGGGAGAAGGTAGGAGGAATGGCTGCCAGCTGACCCATGGGACATCCACCCGGTGCCAGTCCAGTCTTGCACAACGTGGCCAGTCAGCAGGATGGGTGGTATAGCAAACACATAATGGGAGATGAGTGCCACATGTGCCAATGTCTGTCTGGCCCCTCACCCTCACCCTCACCACTCCCCACACACACCAGATGGGTTCAGCTGCCTCCTCGTTGGCCTGACTTCACTGGCCACCTCTATCATGTCTTCTAGTGGTCACTCAGGTGTACATGTCCCTCTTAAGGCTACTTTTCAGCTCCTCCCGGGGGTGGGGGTGGGGAAGAGAGCAAGGAAAATTGGAGACATATTTTCCATTCCTTCAAGTCCAGGATGTCTACTATAACCCTGCCTATTACAGGAAACAAATGCCAGACCTCAAGGCACCAGCTCCTCTCACAGAGGTCTTTACTAACAAGCTGGTATCGCTAATGGGTCTATAGGGGCCCAGGATCCATGGTCAAAGCCAAGTTCAAGTTTATCCAAAGACTTATTCCTGATTAGTCAGCACTTGTGTTTTGTTACATTATTCAAGATCCGAATGACGGGACCAACTTCAAGTAGGTCTGATTGCCATGCACACTGGGAGTGCTTTTACATACTGGCCCGTGTGTCTCTGGATAGGAAAAATCAGAAATATCGTCAGTCTCTGGTTACCAACTTCATTCCCAAGTGTTTCTATAAATTAAATCCGCAGGTAAGCTGGAACAGGTGCATTCAGTTATTTAGCCTCACTTTAGTGCATGAACGGAGCCCTGGGGGGAAGGTGGAGAAGTGTAGTCCGGCTAAGTTCAGGGTCAGTGGTTCGAACCGGCTCCTCCACCACAGGAAGATCTGCTCCAGGAGAGAGCGTTACAGCCTAGGGAAGTATGTGGGCTAGCTATGAGTTACAAACAACGTGGTGGCAGTGGGTCTGGGTCTTATGTAAGAAAAGGCTCAAAGCAGTGGTTCTCAACCTTCCTAATTCTGCGACCCTTTCATACAGTTCCTCATGTTGTGGTGACCCTCCAACCATAAAATTTTCGTTGCTACTTCATAGCTCTCATTTTGCTACTGTTATGAATCGGGCAACCCCTGTGAAAGGGTTCTTTGACCAGCAGAAGGGCCGCGACCCACAGGTTGAGAACCGCTAACCACTGGCTCAAAGGTGGTTCAATGATTTAAACGCTGTACAAGCAACCAAGTAAATGTGATGGTGTCAGAGAACTTGTTTCGGAGAGCTTGATTCCAGTGTCTCGGGGTGAGGGCAAACTTCGGTTAATATAAAGCAGATGTTTGTGACCTGGGGATTCGTTGTCATGAAAAACAGTGATGTCTTCACACGGGTATCTATCTTCGGTAAGCACAACACAGGATCTCAGCCCCATCAAGTCTGTACAGAGGGCTTCAAAGGTTGGTGGGGAAACTTCAGTATCTCTTAATTCCCAAGTTTTCCACAAACCTTTTAAAGGTGCTTCATGTTACCACGTTAGAGGAAGGTAGACTGAGACACCCTTGAAGACACTCAACCGTGTTCTGTTCTGACAAGCCCAGAACAGATACCAAGAATAATCCCATGAAACGGCGATGAGATCTGAGCCAATCTCTGGCCTGCTGAATCCATTCTCAGTGATGAGCACCCTGGTAGGAGGAGCCATGAGATGCCATTCCTAAGGCCCAGAAAGCCCTCCCTCTGTCTGCTAAAGATGCCCTCTGGGGTCTCTAAGGGGTCTTACTCACTCACTGCCATCAAGTTGATGCGACTCAGAGTGACTCCCGATAGGACTGCGTAGAACTGCCCCCTGAGATTCCGAGATTCCAACAGTTTATGGGAGTAGAAGCCCAGTCTTTCTCCCTCAGAGTGGCTGGTAGTTTCAAACTGCCGACCTTGCAGTGAGCAGCCCAAGAGGTAATCACTACACCACCACGGCTCCCTTGAGGGGGTCTTAGAAGGTGGTAATTAACACAATCCCGAGTGATCCTCTTTTCTAGATACCCTCAGCTTCTGATCCAAATGCCTTTTCCAGAAAAGCAGCATGAATGATTTGGGTGTAGGTCATGCAATCAATTTCTCCCTCGCAACCTGCATCTACGGAGTGCCCGTGCACATGCTTACAGACATGGGTTAATGTCCAGCTTCCTGCTCCACAGATAAGTGGCCCTGGCCTGCTGCTGTGCCCCTGGGCTCTCCTCCCTCACACCTCTGGAATATCTCAGTCTGTCACCCACCATCTGTGCCCCCACCCCCGACCCCCACCCTCCTTGCTTCTTCTGAGCCCAATGAAGGTACCATAGGTCAGTCCCCTGGCCTCTTCTGGGCGAGGCAGTCTGAATTAGAAGTGTCTCTGATGAGAGCTAGACCATTCACTTCCTAGGAAGCTATTTCTTACTGTGATTAGAGCCCCCAAGCAGATGAAGAGCCCATGAACCGATAGACAAGTTACTTTATAGTCATCAAACTAGTGGAAAGGAAAACGAGGGAGAGATACAGGTGGGAACTTGTACTACTTTGAGCCCTCATACAAATTTGTCATTAAATATAGCATGCTCTAACCCAATTGTGACTCCTTAGCAATGCAATATAGGATTTCGGAGACTGTAATCTTTACCGAAACAGCCTCACCTTTCAACTGTGGAGCAGCCGGTGGGTTTGAACCGATAACTTTGCAGCTAACAGAGCCCTCAAATTCTTCAGATTCTACCCCTTGCAGAGTGGGGTTCCTACAAATTGCTTTCACAGTAGGTGGCATACTCTCAGCTGGTCTTTCTCTCCACCGCCCACTCCTTAATGTTGTTACAGTTCTAGCTTTGAACAATGGCGAGCTTTGTTTGCTGCAGCGGTAAACTTCCAGGGGCCAAAGGCAGAACACCCCACACCTCGGGTTTGTGGTTTCATACTACATTCCAGGAAACACATCTAACCTTTTCCCTCTAAAGTCTTCTGACCTTGAATTAGCCCAAACATGATGCCCCATATAGCTCTCCTCTAAAGGGACCCTTTGCCTCACACTTCCATCTTACTCTTTAATAAATGTTTCTGAAAGAATAGGATGAGAATTTGGATATGCAAAATAAAGCCTAGTATTTTAAATACTTAAATCCAATTAATATAGTATTTGGTTTTCATTATGCCAACTTCCTATAAGACTTGCTGTGAATGACAAAGAAATGGGAAATGGTTACACACAGGCGTTTTTAGAGACACAAGTGCTTTCCCTGGGCC